TTCTCTCTCTCTCTCTCTCTCTCTCTCTCTCTCTCTCTCTCTCTCTCTCTCTCTCTCTCTCTCTCTCTCTCTCTCTCTCTCTCTCTCTCCCCCTCCTCTGTACTCTCGTCGTATTCTTATAATAAAATACTCGTTTGTACGAAAACGTTTCCAAGTATTGCTATAAATTCACGAGGAACTTTGGAGGCAGTTTTGAGCGCAAGACAGTTTTGAACACCAGTATTTTTTGTGCGAATGAAGAACTACGGCTCTTCGTCGAGAAATATGGATTCTCGACAGTCAGTAAAACTTTCGTTCGAAACATGAGAATTCTTCATTTGAAATCCGATCCGAAAACAAATTGTCATTCACAGCTATTTCGCAGTCATAAAATATAATCCTTTTTTTCTAAAACGTCTAGCAATATCGCTCTTTGCGGATTATCTGTTATCTGACCACGTGTCAAATATATTGACAACCAGATAAAATTTGTTGGTTAATTTTTTGACGGAAAAAGAGTTGTTAACAGGTAAAAATGTTCGTTTTCAAGTGCGATTGAACTCGATTGAATTCCATGGAAATTAATTAAAATTAAAGAAAAAAAGATGCTCGAGATGTGAGAAGCGCGAATGCGGAAAACGAAATCAGAAGGAAGTCTTTTCTTTCTTAAATTTATTACATTTCCGTCGCGATTCAGATAAAATCTAATAAACATGATAGAATTAATTTCGAGAGACGGCAATATGGCGTTCGCTAGACGGCGCCGCGCAAGAAAGGGGAGCGGAATGGGGGCGAGAACGATGAGAATCAAAAGCAACGAGACGGTTAAAACACAATCAGGATTGGCGGGCATCGTGAATAACAATGATATGGAACTAATCTAGGCGAGAGGCCGTTCCCGCGCCGGCTATATCCGCCGTGTTTTCCAACTGGAGATCAGGTTGCAATTTTAAGTGTCGCGTCGATGTTGCATCGGACCTGATTAAATTGCGTTTCCGGTGCCGCGCGCCACCGTGAATAACAATGAAACGATGGCATTTGGATGTGGATTACATTTTTCCCGCACTCCCAAAGCCCGAGGAATTGTCCTCGTCCATTTTCCCGGTGATTTTCGTCTGATTACCGTACTACTATTGCGGAGTCAAAGAGACTTTTTACAACACAATATTTCAGCGCGAAATGAAAAACTATTACACGTTGATGTCAAATCTGAGACTACTACACTCCAAAGGGAGATTTATTACGTCGTTAAATTAAATTGAAATTGATTTTCAAAATATTGAGATATTTATACAATTCCCGCGATAAAACGAGTCTTTATTTATTGTAATTTTTTTTTGGCTCTTGATAGAATTTTTAATTCCAGCGGAATTTTTCAAATATTTCTTGGGACATATGTGGTCCGGTGGTATTGGAAGAATTAATGGGAAACATGTATAACGGTTTTCATAAACAAAATAAAATCCATTTTTCACAGTTTTGGAAAATTCGAACCTTTCATGACCGTCACTTTACCAATACCTTCTACACGAATTTCCGTGGCTCGCGCTAAAAGTACAGATGATAGACGATGTACTTGTAACGATCTTTTTTATACTGCTGGTTCAGCAAAAACATGGCCGGCGTTTACTCTAGTAAAAAAAAAAAAGAGGGACCTGCTTCAACGGCTCATAACTCCGACAATTTTCAATAATTTCTTCTCGCGTTCTTTTATTTCTTAATAAATCTTATATCACAACTTATTGCAAATATCTTTAAAAGATTTATAGAAGTATTATTAGTTAAACCCAGATTCATATTAAAGGAATCATATTAAAATATCATTTTTTCTATATTTAAGATTAATTCATTTGAAAAATATTCTATTTCTATATTTAATTCTATGTCTATATTTATTTGAAAAATTAATTAATCTTAAATATAGAAAAAATGTTACATGCCTCTTATTGTTAGTCGGAAAGATTAACGCTGGCGCACTTAATAATATTTTATGACTTGCGTGTGGAACTGTGGGACATTTTTAGAAGCTTGATATGAAAATGGATTGCAACTCGCGTGACATATTACCTACAAAAATCCGTTTAGAGAGAGCGAGTGAGCGAGAGAGAGAGAGAGAGAGAGAGAGAGAGAGAGAGAGAGCGAC